AATAAAAAACCCGATTGGTATCTATTTTTGTAAAACCGAAAGAACCGAACCGCTCTATTCCGTCCCGAACCCGAACTGTTTCCCGAAACGCTCACCCCTACTATTTTGGGTTAACCTTTACGGAAAAAAATATTCAATCTCAAATTTTTTTTATCAAATTCGGAAAATCCAACTAATATCTTTCAAAAGACAGGAAAATTCGGGTGAATGACACTTTTTATATTTGGATTTGAATCCGAGATAAAAGAATAATGAATAAGAGTGGTATTGGATAACATATTATGTATAATGGATCGTCATATATTAAAAATGGAAGTAGTCACTCTAATAAGGATATCGCCATGTATACATATTGTGCCAATACTACATAAATAGTAATATGTCTATTTTAGACGAAAATGGACCACCACACCTCCTTGATGGTAATGGAAATTACAATTATTGCCCCAATTGGGAATGATTTGGAGTTTCTCCTCACCAATAATTCCAAGTTTTTTGTACAATCATGACCAATAGTTGACCACGTTTAGAAGAAAAAAAAGCCACCCAATGAATTAGGAAAAAAAATATTGAAATGGGTATTATACTTAATTTTAATATCTCAATCCATTTGTCATCCAAGAGCCCCATATTCTTGATATATTTAGGTTTTCTTGAACTATAAGTTACATATTTCAAATTAATAATTATCTTAATCGAACATTATCTTATAATTAATCTGATATTTATCAAAGTTTAAATTAACCATACAACCAGACATTTACAAAAAAAGAAAAAAACATACAAACACAGAACATAATTTGCATATTATATATATATATATAATATCTATTGCTAAAGATAATTAATGAAGATAAGACACCGCCTCCCGAAATACACACAAAAAAAAAACAAAATATCCACAAAAAGGGAGGGGTTGCAGTCGAGGAAAGCCTGATTTACTAAAATACCCCTAAATAAGCATCGAATTCTCAGACTTGCCCCTTCATCTCTTCTTCGCTCACGAACGTGCCGTGGAAACCGTACGGAACCCTCTCCGGCAACCGCACCACTGCGACCTGCTCCATCGTCGCCGCGTCAACCACTACGAACTCCGACTCTTCTCTCTCTTCGTCTCTCACAAACCCGATCAGAAATCCGTCGTCTTCTTCTCCTTCTTCGTCGCCGTTCTTCGCCGGAACGAAGAACGGCTCTCCGCCGAAACGCTGCGTCCCGTACCTGAACTCCGAAACGGCGCCGTTTTCGAGATCAACTTTAGCGATACCGCTGCATTTGGGCCATGGGTCGGCTATTGCCAAGTAAACGAACCGAGTCTTCCGGCCCAGTAAATCCCGGTTTATCTGACCGGCCTCCAGATTCATCCCCGGTACGATGACTCGCCGGGTCGATTCCTTGGTACGGAGATTTAACCGGATCTCGGATAGTTCGATACGAGTCGGGTCGTCCGGTTCGTTGAAAACCGAGTCCGGTGGGTTCATGCACGAACCGATCGCGACGATAACCGGGTCTTCCCCATCTCCGGCAATCTCTTCCCACGCGTTCCAGAGATGGAAACAGAAGCAATCGGGCACTGGGATCCATTCTATACCGGACCCGGTTAAATCATCCTTCGACAAAACACCAAATCTCGAGGTTTTTTCTCGGTCGTACATAACCGGAGATCCTCCACGGATCATCTCGGACAATTTGAAGACGAGTTGATGATCTGGGATCACGACAAAATTCTGGGTGATCGCGAAATCGTGGATCATCGTGGGTTGTCGGAGAGTGATGTCCACGTCACGTGTCTTTTTCCCGCACCTGTCGAATTTGAAGTACTTGAGGTAAGGTTTCTTCACAACGTTGTAGCTCAGCGTGTGGAGATCCCCTGTGGTCGGGTCCACCTTTGGGTGTGCTATCACGGGACAATTGATCTGATCATCGAATCTGAACCGTCCAACAGTCTCGAGATCTCCCTGACCGTTGATCTTCACGTGGTAGGGGAGATCGTCTTCCGACATGGCTAAGACTCTACCGTTGAAGCAGACGACTCCTGCGTTGGCTACGCCCATGCCACGTGTCGCGTCCACGAGGCCGATCTCGGCTCTGGCCATGAACAGAGCGAGCCGAGCCAAGCCCGAATGGCCGTGTAGCTCGCCTATCGGTTTAGGGAAAACCGATCTGCCCAATTCTGCTTCCTGACCCAGCCGGTTTGTCCGCGTGTACCGGCAGCTGTAGCTCACCCGGTTTTCCGAACCGATACTAACGGCGTGAATCATTCCATCGCCGTCGAAGAGATGGTGACCGGCTAACGGCTTGAACATGGGGTTAGCGCCGTTACGGAGGTAGACTCCGCGTAGGCAAGAAGGAATCTCACCCACGACTTCCAAACCGGTCTGAACCGGACACTCCTTAACCGGAGCGAAGTTACCCGACAGCTGAACCGTGGGGTCGGTCGGTTTAGGCAAAGGGTGGTTCTGCTCCATGGGTACAACAAGTGAGGCCTCGATCTTGTCGAGCGCCGAAGCCGCAAGTTTCTGGAGAGGGTTTAACCGAGAAGGGTACTTCCATAATTCCGGTTGCATGGGCCGTACGGACGGCGGAGAGGGCGGCGGAGGAGTCGCCGGCGGTGGGGTTTTGGGGATGGTTATTGTTTTGAAAGGGTTGATGACAATCTTGCATGTGGGTGGTGATGGAGGTTTTGCATGTATGGTTTTAGGGTTTAGTTGGATACGACAGAAGATTTCCGGTTTCGAAGTAGCCGTCTCCGGAGGCGGAACGGCGGAGGAGGAGAGGCGGAGGGATTGTTGCATGGCGGAGGAGGAAAAAACAAAGATAGGTGTTGCAAAATCTTGGAAAGGTTGCTACATTTGATAAGGGGAATATATTTCGTCGACACATGAATATATATATATATAAACAAAATCTAGCGATTGTTACTTTACACGTGGCAAAATAGAATCTCCACCTCCATTTATGTTAAGATATAATATATATATATATATATATCATGTCCACTAAATTAACTTATTATCGCAAAAAAGCTTGTGGGCGGACCCATTGTAAATTTTAATACAGATGGGGTCACGTCTAATTAATATAATATTAATTTTCTTTGATAAATTTTACAAAAATTTAAATAAAATTGTTAGATGACGCGTATATTAAAATTATGTTTGTTTTGTGTCAGTGACTAATGGATCTTTTTAAAACCATATCCCATTATCCAGTATCTAATTTACATTAATTTTCATATTGTCGTACGCATACTAAAATTTTATTACAAGTAATTTATGTACAATAACTCGGGATTATTCCAAATAAGTAAAAGGGGATAATATCATCTGAGACTTAAACATATATCAATTATATGAATGGTTAATAATCACCGATTAGAGTGTCCAACCATCCATATATATATTGCAAATATTAATTTGTGTATTATGTTATATAAGTATATATTATGTGGATATAATATTAACGTGAACTTGTTGGATGAATAACGTGACCAATAAGTAATGACTCTTGGATGACGGTTAGGTCCGTTAAGTAATTATCTTCTAATTTTCTTATTAACGACATTAATTGTCTTTATTAGGTGTAGATTATGTTTAATGCAAATTAATTTCTCAGAGATATGACGTATTTGATTTTGATTTCTTTTTCTTAAACATTTCATCATAATTTTTTTTTCTACTAAGGAATTTTAATTATATATATTAACATTGCATTTAAATTCTAAACACGAATTCCATAAAAAAGATTTGAACACGTGCATTATACAATTACTGTATTATCCCTGTTATATATAGTCGATCAGTATTATATTCTTGTGATAATTATTATTTTTAGTTGCAATGAACAATTGTGATTATTTTATTATCTTTACAAGAATTGGGATACTCGAATTTATTTGATTTTGTGGTTCTTAGATTTGAGCTTCCAAACTTATGGGATAAAAATCATGTGAAACATGACGACAAAAGGCATTTTTGCAAACATAAAATGTTTATCATATAAACATATATTCGTTTAGAATTTTCACACAAAAAAAATAAAAAATATCTTCAATCAATATACATATTGTGCTCTTTAGAAATTGCGTTATATAGTGTTCAATGTGAAAGTGTAAAATTGAAATTTATCTCGTAAAACGAGAATCCAAGATTTTTTAATCCTTGGTAACCTTAAATAAAAAGAGATTATGAACGATGATTTTAATATCGTTTGAAATGTGAGTTCCCGATGATGGTGATATCATCTACACGAGGAGTTCATGGTTTCTGTAAGACCAAAAATAAACCACGTGGGGTATTTTGTCTGAACTTGGCCGTATACGGACGGCTTATATATATACCATCCCGCCACAGCAAGCGGTATATTATATATACATACATACGTATTTTGTCTGAACTTGGCCGTATACGGACGGCTCGTATATATTTATACAATATTTTCGGAAAATTACGAGTTGAAAAATAAGAATTCAATCTGTATTGTGAAAATTACCTAGGAGTGAGTGTAAATGTTCCAAAATAATCAATAAACCTTAGAAAATCCTCGTCATCTAATGGTTTTTATATACATATCAAAATAATCTATATATATATATATCAAACAGTGTTGACTATAGGGTGATTCGGGCTCAATATACTCTGGTTATTTGAATATGAACTTTAATATCTCGGTTTGTATAATTTGAATTTGATTTTATATTCGCACGTTAATGATATTCCAAAAAAAAAAAAAAGATTCGGACATCCAAAAGTGCCCGAATCCAAACTTTTTATTTTAGATTTTCGAACACTTATCTAAATCTAAGACAGAAAACTATATAGTTTTGAAGATATATATATATATATATATACTATAATTAGTAAAAAAAGAAAGCCGATATGGGGTGTGATCGATCTATGGGCTCCCACGTGAATATTAAATTCTGTAAGATCCATTTTAATGCGGAAGCCATCTTTTTTTTTTTTTTGTAATGTTGTCGAGATTACGACAAAATCTTCAATTCTCCTTCTTTGGTTTCATCCTTTTGCGCTAACGTCGTACGTACGTCGTCAAGTTCCCCATGCATGCTATCAACGTGTGTACGCTTATTTCGACCGCCACGTTACTAAACCCACGATCACTACGTCTTTTTTTTTTTTGTTGGGGGTTAGAGATCACTACTAGTCTTCTTGCACAATATTCTATATCTATAAAATTAATATATCTTATGTTTTGATCATTTTTATTTAAAAAATCCACACCATAAAGGCTTGCATACATGTCTCTAATAACTATAGCAATATCTGTTCATTTCTCTCTCTTTTTTTCTAAATAAAAATCTAGGAATAATTAAATAAGTTATAATTATGCAATCACATATATTCGTATGAAATATATATATATTAATAATATGGATCATGAGCGGATCTACATGTAAATAACTATATACGGGTCATATCATATGCCCGCCCTATTTATCAAATTAAAAATTTTAAATTTCTTTATAAATTTTATAAAAATTTTGAACAAAACTTGTTAAATACTTTTATAAATTAAATTTATCTATAATAAAATTAACTTTACCCTTAATCATATATTTTTCTAGGTCCGCGATACGAATACAAAAAGTTATGTGGATATACATCATAATGTTTTATCTTCTTTAATATATTTGAAGCAAACCTTAATATTCTTCTAGAAGACTTTGGAGAACCCAATTTATTTGGATAAGGATTGGAAAATCTATGAATTTTATAAATTTTAACAATATATATACACTCAAATATTATGTGTATTCTTACACCCGTCCAAGACAAACACACAATTATTTGATAAATGCACAAATTAACTTATATATTAATATAAAAAAACCTATATATATAATTCTATAAAATACCACAATTTATCTAAATATATTATATAAATAATTCATTTTTAAATTGAAAAATAAATACCATAATAAAGTCAATTTATATGAAATGATATTATTGATATCTATTTAGTAATAGCGAGATTTGAGATTGAGAGAGTTTCATTGTCTCATGTTTAATAATTTTTTCGGTTCCAGTGTTATGGAGAGTATGTTAGTGGAGCTATAAGTGATGAACAGAGAAAGAATGTCCTCCTCAATTCCTGTCCTGGAGCAGGAGCATGTGGTGGCATGTACACAGCCAATACCATGGCTTCCGCCATTGAAGCTATGGGAATGTCCCTTCCTTACAGGTGAGACGTCTGATCATGAAGACTCCATGACAAACATATCTTTGCAGACATCACAGTTGATTTTTTATTCTTAGTAGACAAGTTTTTTCATCGAGTGTTTTTGCTTTGTTTCTTGCAGTTCTTCGATACCTGCTGAAGACCCATTGAAGTTGGATGAGTGTCGTTTAGCTGGAAAATATCTGCTAGAATTGCTAAAGATGGACTTGAAACCACGTGACATAATCACTCCAAAATCACTTCGTAATGCCATGGTTATTGTCATGGCCCTCGGAGGATCCACCAATGCTGTTTTGCATCTGATTGCTATCGCTAGGTAGACGAGCTCTCCCATATATATATATATATATGGAGTGGTGCTAAGCAAATACTTCTCATACTTATTTTGTCGTTACTTTGAAGAAGATTTATCTTTCTATCCGACAGATCGTGGGCGAGTGGTCAAGTTTGAGGTAAGAGGTAACTCTACATTGAAGTTGGGTGTTTGATTTCTGACTGGTAGGGAGGAAGGGTTTATATGATCCATATACAAAGTCTGCTTCGCATGAGCAAAGGATAGCAAACTAGGAGTCCTCAATTATTAAAAAAAAAAATTATCTTCCTAGCTTCATTTATTTTGTTTTTATAGATTTCGTTACATATTATTATATAAATAATTAAATTATTTGGAATTTGTTTAGATTTTACATTTTAATCATATTGTTTAAGTTTATTGTTTTAGCAGAATTTGTTTTTTTTTTAAGTTTACGAGGGTTTAATTATTATAATAAACTTAATAAGAATTGAATTATAGAAGTGCCTCCACGCGCCTCCACGCGTATGTTGAAGTAAAACCATTTTCCATCATCTGTCAAAACCCCTGCCAATCTCTGAACCATATCTTAAACCCCTGAATCGACCGTCTCTCCCCACGCGCCGCCATGCAAGCCGCCATTTTCTCCGCACGCGCCACCGCCTTTCCCTGCAAGCCTCTCTTCCCTTCCCACAATGCCCCCACCGGAGACCGTCGCCGCCAGCGATCCACATTCCTCTGCGCCGTCACCGCCGATCCCTCGCCGCCTCCCACCGCCGCCGGAGACGCCACGAAGCTCAACAAGTACAGCTCCCGGATAACGGAGCCCAAATCCCAAGGTGGGTCGCAGGCGATTCTCCACGGCGTGGGATTATCCGAGGAGGATATGTCGAAGCCCCAGATCGGGATTTCGTCGGTGTGGTACGAAGGGAACACCTGCAATATGCACTTGCTGAGGTTGTCGGAAGCGGTGAAAGAGGGCGTTGAAGGGGCGGGGATTGTGGGTTTCAGGTTCAACACCATTGGTGTCAGTGATGCTATCTCCATGGGAACAAGAGGAATGTGTTTCAGTTTGCAATCTAGGGATTTGATTGCTGATAGTATTGAGACTGTGATGAGTGCCCAATGGTATGATGGGAACATATCCATCCCTGGCTGCGACAAAAATGTGAGTTTTTTTCCTCATCAAATCATCTGGTCGAGTGAAATGTTAGCTATGGATTGCTATTTGGTGTTATGGTGATGCATCTTCTCCATGTTTTGGGGTTTTATTAGGCTTTTGGCAGAAAAGTTTGCATCTTTTTTCTTTCCCTTTTAAACCCTTTAACTTGTGTTTGGTCTAGAGTTCATCTGCTGAATAGAATTTGTAGAGTTTTGTTGGATTGATAAGAAGGAACATTGTTCTTGCATTATATGTTTTGGTTATTTAACTATTGGGTGCAGGTTACAATGGCAAAGTTTCAATGTTGAAGACGCATATAGGTTCATATTTCCTTTTTTTAAATCAAAGCTCGGGCCTTTAATATCTCTACTTGCAGACTAGAAATGTGTATGAATTGTCTGTAAGATGTTTTACCGGCTCAGCTTGAAAGGGGCAGTTGTTCATAATCAATTGCGTACTTGTGTTCGTTCTTTTTTTTTCTTTCAGAAATGCTGGGACGATGTTAGTCAGGGCATTATCACGAGTTTCGTTTTCCTTTTCCTCATTAGTTTGAAGAACCGTTTGATTTTGTTGTATAATGTCCCCCCTGCCCCTTGCTTTGTGATTTAATAGTTTTGCTCTTATGCTATTTTCAGATGCCTGGAACAATTATGGCTATGGGAAGGCTTAACCGGCCTGGCATTATGATTTACGGAGGAACCATCAAGGTTTTATTCTATACCTATCAAGGTTCATAATTGATTTTCTGTGAGTTCTGATGTCGGGTTGACTTATTTTCTTTCTTTTGTTCTTGCAGCCCGGTCACGTTCAGGATAAGACATATGACATAGTATCTGCTTTTCAGGTATCATTTGATTGCTTCTTTCTGCTATTTGGGCAGGTGACACTGATGTGATCTGTTTCTTCTGATCTGTATTGTTATTTTTTCTTACTACACCTATAGCTTATTCAGTTATTGGATTGAAACAAGTACTAGATATCTTCTTTTTCAAGTAGCTTCTACTTTAAATGGAATCATCTTGTAGATTCTTGCTTTGTTGTTTCAGTTTGAGTTTCATTGTCTCATGTTTAATAATTTTTTCGGTTCCAGTGTTATGGAGAGTATGTTAGTGGAGCTATAAGTGATGAACAGAGAAAGAATGTCCTCCTCAATTCCTGTCCTGGAGCAGGAGCATGTGGTGGCATGTACACAGCCAATACCATGGCTTCCGCCATTGAAGCTATGGGAATGTCCCTTCCTTACAGGTGAGACGTCTGATCATGAAGACTCCATGACAAACATATCTTTGCAGACATCACAGTTGATTTTTTATTCTTAGTAGACAAGTTTTTTCATCGAGTGTTTTTGCTTTGTTTCTTGCAGTTCTTCGATACCTGCTGAAGACCCATTGAAGTTGGATGAGTGTCGTTTAGCTGGAAAATATCTGCTAGAATTGCTAAAGATGGACTTGAAACCACGTGACATAATCACTCCAAAATCACTTCGTAATGCCATGGTTATTGTCATGGCCCTCGGAGGATCCACCAATGCTGTTTTGCATCTGATTGCTATCGCTAGGTAGACGAGCTCTCCCCCTTGTTTTATTTTTGCTTGTTATTCTCATCAATGTTAAAAATATAAAAGCTAATAATTCAGATTATTTTCAGGTCTGTTGGTTTGAAGTTAACCCTCGATGATTTCCAGAAGGTCAGCGACGAGGTTCCATTCCTAGCAGATCTTAAACCCAGTGGGAAATATGTTATGGAGGACATTCATAAGGTGGGGACTTCAGCATTTGTCTTTTGCATCTTTCTGTGTCTTTCTTCTCTCCTTGGGAAGTTCATCGATCATCTGTTCTGTTGATATTCATTATTTTGTATTTCCGTTACTCGTTTTTTTTCAGATAGGTGGAACACCGGCTGTCATTCACCATCTATTAGAGCTAGGCTTTATGGATGGGGATTGTATCACAGGTACACATACTTATATAACTCAATAAGCCATTTAGTAGAATTGATTTGCTTGTAAAATTCATTTTCAATTTATCTCATTTTTTTTGTCTCACTAGTGACGGGGAAGACCTTGGGCCAAAATGTAGAAAACGTCCCGCGTTTACCAGATGGTCAGGTGGGATGAGACTTAAAGTTTCAATGTTGATTGGATTGAAAGTAGTTGCTCTTTCTCGATTCTTGTGGGTAGGTGTACAATTCTGTAATTCTTGTGTTCTTACAAATATTCCAGGATATAATCAGACCTTTGTCAAACCCAATCAAGCAGACTGGTCACATCCAAATCCTGAGAGGAGATCTTGCACCAGAAGGTTCTGTAGCGAAAATAACTGGGAAAGAGGGACTATATTTCTCTGGTAATTATGGTTCATGTTTTTGCCTCCATTATGATTCTTACCTGAAGGCTGGAACTACTTTTACATCGAAAAAAAAAACTGTTGTTTCAGGTCCGGCACTTGTCTTTGAAGGAGAGGAATCTATGATTGCTGCTATTACAGAAGACCCGATGAGTTTCAAGGTAATTGTGTCTTTTTTCGTATAATCCTCAGTCTAGAAAAGTTGATCTCTTTTTAGATAATGTTGCTAAGTCACGAGTTCTTGCAGGGTAAAGTGGTTGTAATAAGAGGAGAAGGACCTAAAGGAGGTCCGGGCATGCCTGAGATGTTGACACCAACGAGTGCTATTATGGGTGCGGGTCTCGGCAAGGTATGATATGATACTAAGACCATGTTGTCCAGGAATCTGTTACTTTTGTCTGTTCAACTCTCAAGTTCTCATTTTCCAAGTTAAAATCAATTTCTTTTCTTTCCAAAGAAAGCTGGTAATGAACTAATACTACGTCTGTAAAAGTGACAATCTCTCTTTGCTGTTTTTGGTGATCCAGGAGGTTGCATTGCTCACTGATGGCAGGTTCTCAGGTGGATCTCACGGCTTTGTTGTTGGTCACATTTGTCCTGAAGCAGAGGTTTCTCTCTCTCCCTCTCTCTCTCTCTCTCTCTCTCTCTCTCTCTCTCTCTCTCTCTCCACTGGTAGCTGGAAAACAACATGGATCACAAACTTTTCCCCTTAGTATATTTCTTTGAAAAGATCGATTTCGCCTTCTTCAACACATGCATACCCCTGCATATGTAAATATGAAATTGGGTTAGGGTTCATCATATTTTAGCTGAGCAAGACAAGACAAGTGGAAAATAGGTGAAGTAACGGTGTGTAAAGATGGGTCCTTTGCCACTATGGAGCACATATCAATGGCTTCTTTACCATATGAGCTCATGTTTGGAAAAAAGTGAGAGGCTTTCTTCTTTTATCTATGTATATCTATGTGTGTATATATATGCAGGAGGGTGGTCCGATTGGTCTGATACAGAACGGAGACATCATCACAATAGACATAGCGAAGAGGAGAATAGACACGCAGGTCTCGCAGGAGGAAATGAACGAACGTAGAAAGAAGTGGTCGCCCCTCCCTTACAAGGTTAACCGCGGAGTTCTATACAAGGTAACATTATATAACCGACACACTCTCTCTCTATCTCCAAATCAAAACACTTGTATTTTTGCCTGTTAGTTAGTATGATGAATCTACTCAAGAACTAACACATTCTTGATGATGATGATGATGGCGATGGTGATGATGACAGTACATCAAGAACGTGAAATCTGCTTCAGAGGGATGCGTGACTGATGAGTAAGCTCCACCATGGAATCCGTGTAGGCCATTTTTTTTTTCTTTCTTACTTCTTTGTCTTAGTAGCCATTGTTGTTTTGCTCTTTAGTTCTGAAGAATGATTATGGAATCTTTTTTCCAAAAGCTTATTTTGGGCAAGAAACCCTCTCAAACTAAACTGATAACTTATGGTGCTTTACATATATACAGCAATACAGTTGCTGAATATAAGGAGAAATTATTTTATACAAGATATCACAAACATTGTAAACTCCAAATCTGAATTATCTAATCAGATCTGTCTTTACATAAACGTATTTGGACCGTTCTGTGTTTTTTTTTATAATGTAAGGGGGTTAAGGATATCCATATCATATACGCTATTTTTCCCTGCTGTATATAGTGTGATATATGCACAATTGTCACATTTACAAAAATGTATCCCTAACGATTCTGGCCATCACTCGTGAGCTGAGTCGACTCAGCACTTCAGGCAACACTTTGGCAGAGATTCCAGGCAACACAGGAAGCAGTTCTCTGACAACTTGAGAAACATCTACCACCTGTTTTCTTAACGGTTATTATCGCAATGTCGGAGTTAATACAACGATAATGATATCGATGATGATGAAGAAGTAAAAAGACGGGGCGAGAAGGCGGGTCTGAAAGCAGCCTACCTGGTCGGGATTGTTTGAGACAGAGTTTCTCGCGGTAAGGAACTCGACGACTTTCTGAACGTTGTTTAGAATGGCTCTGTCTTCTTCAGTCACGGATGGCAGAAAAGCCGAGGGCTTGAAGGGTCCAAATGCGGGTACCATGCTGAAAACGGGTGTCGGGCTTCCTGCTCCAAGGACCGCCATAACTTGCACGAGCTGTTCCCTTGTTACTGCGTCGATGCCTTTGACTATCTGTTTCGGGGAATCAGAAACAAATCAGAACCAAAAATCCATTCTTACAACCTAAAATCAGAGCAGCATGGTTCCAAACAGGTTTTGTTCTTGTTGCATCTCTCTCATTGGCTCTGTATTTGTTGAAAGTGTCAGCTTTTTTTTTTTTTTTCTAAAGGTGGTTAGGTTGGAAAATTACCTCGTCCAATAGAAACTCGCGGAAGAAGTTCCCTTTCTCGGATAGCAGAAAAGACAATGCAACTCTTGTTTGAACTGGCTGGTTCTCTCGAGGTGAACTGACCGAAAACACGGGAACTAGACTGGTGGTCTGACTTTGCAGAACAGCCAGTTCCGCCATGCCTCCATTCAAACTTTCCCCTCCTCCGCTTTTGGCTGCGGTTATGAAACTCTCGAAGGCTTGCATCACGTCGATGAATCTTTCCGCATTAAAAACACCGGATTTCCCATAGATTGTGTACCGTAAAGCCTCTCTCAGTCGGGGAGATTCATCTGTGAGGAGCCGCTGAATCAAAGTGAACATATTAAGGCAACATTAACAATGATCTATAAGTATTTCACTGGAGAATCTGCCAGATCAAGAGTTTGTGGTGATTACCTGTGCAATATAAGGATAGGCCTCATCCACAATTGCAAATTCAGGATTCCCCACAAGAGCTATCCCTTCCAGTACACCAATTGCTCGGATTATAAGGGCGAAATAAGGTGGAATTCTGAAAGGATAGTCGAAAGTTATCTGCGCCAAATCGGCTGCCAATTCTTGGAAGTTGATATTTTTTGCCCCACCACCTTCGAGTGCCTGATCGAAAACCTTGGCCAGGACGGGTAATATCGGTGCTAGATTGACCCCTTCGGGGATGAAACCAAGTTTGACAAAATCCTTCACTATGGCATCATAATCGCGGTGAATTAGGTGTGCTATAGCTTCAATCATCCCGTACTTCTGATCGTCGGTCAATTTGGTGACAAGGCCTATCATTAATAGATCATCTTGAGTTCTGAACAATAGATTTTTCGTAGATTGTCGAAAGCTATATAAAAAAAGCAAAGAACATATCCAGGCATGAATTGCGACAAGAGTTAACACTCGAAATTCAAATCATTACCGAAATCAAGAATGGCAAGCTTTCCGTCTGGAGTCCGAATCAAATTTCCAGGATGAGGGTCAGCATGAAAAAACCCAGTATCAAGCAACTGAAAACACAGAATATTACAGATATTAGACACAAGATTGGGATTATTAGTTTGCTATTTGATAGAGAGGAAATAGAAGCAGAGTTGGCAGAAGAATGGGATAAAGAAATCAGCACATCTTTTTTTGATGTGATGAGATATTCAGGTATCCACAAGTTTACTCTTCTTTGCAATCCTTTATAAAAAATCCAAGAAAATGATTCTAAAACGTCCTGCTTCATAATAATTCTATTGATAATTTGAATTCTTTATGAACCTCTTCGATTAACCATGTAGGATAGAACAAAAGGAAGATTTCAACAGGTGAACAAACGGTTCTATAAAAGGGCAGCCAGTGCACAAAGCATCCCTGCTAAGCGAGGGTCCGGAAAGGGTCCCACCACGAAGGTGTATTGTATGCAAACCTTACCTTGCAGAATATTCTGCAAGAAGCTGCTCTCGGGACTCGAACCCGTGACCTCTAGGTCACAAAGCAACACCTTAACCAGTTCTATATCTCCAGATATTAGTACTACCCTGTGGATGTATTCTACTTCGAGCCCAGAAAAAATACCTGCTTTAGGTAACAAATGACACCAACGTTGACAAGTTCACCGACGTCACTCTCAGTACTTTGCGACAGTTTTTCCCCATCGATCCATTGAGTGGTCAGAACCTTCCTCGAAGTATACTTCTCGTAGGTTTTTGGCACAACAACCTGACCAATAATACTTTTATTATATGATCAAGCACAATGGATTCAACACTAAGCTAATGTCAACACGCAATAGTGCTTGTCAGATAGATGTTCTATGATCAGCATGCTGGCTTCACTGTCATACATAGACACAGATAGTGAAAGTTCCCATGAGAAGTTATGGCGCATACTTGTGGAAGATCTTTCCTCATCATTTCTGCAAAAAGTGTACCATTCTCGCCTTCATTAACATAATCCAGCTCCTCAAAGAAGCGAGCAGCCCACTCATCAACAAGGCCGACAACATCTACAGACACCTGGATAATGGATTGAACAAAAAACGAAAAAGAAAAAGGAAAAAAATTATAAAAAAAGCACGGTAAAAGAGAACCATTAGAGAAGCAACTAAAATGAGCTGTAAGACAAAACCTTGCCTGAGGGAACTTCCGGAGAAATAAACCCAAGTTCCTTATGATGAATAAGTCAATAGTCACAGTCTCAAGAACAAAAGGCCTCTGTACTTTCACAGCTACTTGGTCTCCATTTTCCTTTAACCGGCCCTTGTACACTTGCCCAAGTGATGCTGGACCACCAAATTTATAATAAGATAGATGATGCTAAAATCTAGCCACGGTAGACATTTAAAAACCTAGCTATAACAAGTCGAAATAATAAGATGGACTAGAGAATGACATTGTTTGTATATACCAGCAGCAATTGGGGAAGGGGAGAGCTCCGAATAGAGGTTGTACCATGGCTGCCCAAGCTCCTCCTCAATAAGATCCATTGCTACATCATCCGGAAACGAAGGGACCTATGCAGAAATCAGACAGAATAAGAAAAAAAAACATATTTTGACCACGGTAAATCATATATGACTGTGAACGAAACAAACACAAAATTATACATATGGTATACCTTATCACAAAGCTTTTGCAGCTCTGTCATTGCAGAGGGTGATAGTATATCTGGCCGAATACTCAAAGCTTGCCCGAGCTTAATGTAGGCCGGACCCAAAGAGGTTACAATTTCCCTCAATTCAATGGCCCTAGCCACCTCATTCTGACATCGAAAACGGGAAAAAAGTGAGTCCTAACACCTTGCTACTTTAAACATCCATAAAAACAAATTTTCATATGAACATAACAAGTACACACAATTTTCAACAAACCCAGCACAAAATGACTACCATCATACAAAAAGCTAACCACTTGCCAGATATTTTTCCATAGCTCAAAAACAATACATTATCTTGGAGATATAGCAGAGGGAGCTAAACGAAACTACTTTCATCACAACAATCTTGGGGAAGTTTTCACCTTAAGACTTTCAAGCTTGGGAGGAAGAAAAACAACAAAACAAGGATATCCTATTCCTCTATTATTTACTTAAGGACTATACCGAGATCAGCCAAGTCTTAAATCATCAACTATCTTTGCTACTGAAGCTTCCATTCGCGGAGAAAGCCGTAAACAGGGCATTACCTCTTTGACCTTCTTGTTTATGACATCGGACAGGAGACGTGAGAGAAATCCCCCTGCAACTGAAAGCAATTGGACAATTCGTGTAGCAACAGCTCGTGGCCGTTTACCCCAATACGCAGATATGCTCGCTGGATCATACACCAATGGCAAAAATTCACTGCTTTCATCAGTCTGCAGAATCCGCCATAGAAACAGAGCATAGCAAACATCAATACATTGAACATATGAGACAAAAATGAACAGAATACAGTGAAGAAGGCTACTTACCTCGACAAGTCTTAGCTGAATATTATCGTCTGCAAACATTGAATCTTTCAGATTTTGGCCACGAAGTCCTCTCATCAACACGGCCAACTGTTCATCTTCTTCCATTTGAGCCCTCACTCTCTGAATCTCTTTCGATACACCGTTAATCCTCTGCGACATCGCCAAAACCAAAATTAGAGCTACAAAATCCCTTCCACCACAAATGTGTGAAATTGAAACAAGCCCAGACCCAGAAGCTAAACTTTTTTTTTTTTTTGGATAAAACCAGAAGCTAAACTTTTTCGAAAAAACGAGGAAAATCTACGGATTTGGAGGGATTACCGAAGAAACACCGTTGACTCCGTCTGAACCAGAAGACGGCGGAGAAGACCCATTGACGGTACGACGATCGTTGGGCTTGGACGGTCCCGTACGGCTAGGTTTTGGCTCGGTGGCGACGGCTAGAACCCTTCCGGATACTCTCCGGCGAGAAATCCCGGCGACGGCGGAGGAGCGGCGTGTGGAGAGCGTGAATCGGAGAGGCTCGGCCCCGCAGTAAACGAGCCGCGGCGCTGCTGCGTCCATGGAACGATCACCACTCCCTTCGACAACAAGCTCGAGTAATCGAGATCGAGATCGAGATCGAGTCAGGGAGAGATTGGTGTCGCTGGTTGAAGCAAAACGCTTGGGGTGCAGTGGGTTTTAGTGGAACAAAGAGGTTGATTTTCGTGGAAGGAAATTGCCAGCGAAAGAGACACGTGGCGTAACGTTGTGCATGGGAATATAATATATGTATTTATTATATTCCGTCGGTCCATTTTATCTTTTATATATTGCGGTTCATATGACAAGTACCATAAGACTAATAACACGCCACCCATATTTTTTGCTGTGAATTTTTTTGAATATTTTTATCCAATGGCGCCAAAATTTAGGGAAGCCCAAGCCCTTTTCTCTCTCCTCGTTCACTTTTCAAGGAAACGAAGAAGAAGAAGAAGAAGAAGAAGAAGAAGAAGAAAGTAGCAGCGAAGATGAAGAAATCCAAGCATCCTACTATTAGGGTTTTTGGCCAGAGATCGATTGATCCATCCTTCATGAATCTCCGCACAAACCCGTAAGCTGAGAGATCACACTCCCACTCTCGTCACTCTTTTGATTTCTGAATTTCTCGGGTGAAAATTTCCGATTTCCATGTTTTAGATTCCCTGAAAATTTTCTCCGAGAGATCGATTAGGATTATTTGTATTTGTCCGCGTAATGTGTAGTTCGATGGATTCCGGTGGCAGTCAGACGAAGAAGGTGGAGAAATGTGTATCGTTTTCGGATTTCCTCGACAGGAAGCTGAACAAATCAGTGCTTTATAAACCAAACGATGTGGTATTTATCTTCTGCCGCTGCTTGAATGGGATGGTAAAGAGGAAAGATATTGAGGGAAGATTAGATTTATCGATTTCCGAGTGGGTTCGGTTTTTTCCGCTGATACTGAAGAGAAACTGAGATATTGCATTTTTGCTTGGGTTTCCTGGTGACATTCAAGGTTGAATCTTGATTTTACTCCTTCCATTATGGTCGGTATGAGATTTCGAAATCTTTTCGAAATGGTTGCCGTGTAGTTCATGAGAGATGGTAAAGGAAACAGATTGAATTAGAAAGTTGAAGCAAAAGCTGAAACCTTTAAACTGTGGGGATCATCTGCATGGTGACACCAACATCAATAGTTTATACATGCCATTTGCTTAGGGTTTCTCTTCCTTAACGAGTCTCTATTACTTGAAAGATATGCAAGTATGTTGGCATGAGCTTGTGAAATTATATGCAAAGTCCATATAAATGGGTTCGAGTTAGAGGAAATTAGAGTTATTCCTCTTTGTCTGCTTGTGGATTACTTTGTTAGTTTTTAGGAAATGTAACTAAGTATGTCCTCTCGGCCAGCTAAATGGTTCAGTTCCTCCTGTCTGACTAAATTTAGATATGCCTTCCTAAGCAGATATGATCTACATTCCTGGTTGCATTGACAGGAAAGACCAAGGCCTTTTACCACTTTGGTTAGCTCCAACAGTGTCGCTGAACCCTCTCATGGGTTTGAGATTAAAAAAAGAGCAAGGCAAGAGGATAGAAGTGGCAATGCTCTTGAAAAGACAGTGCTTCTACCGTTCAAGTCGAAAGAGAATCAAATAAGTGAAGAAGAGGGAATGAATGTTCTTGATAAAGAGAGCCTGGAGCAGTTGAAGCAAACCACTGCTGATAGGATGGATCATATGGCTCCATGTAGCACTGAAACCATTGAACATGCATTTCTGAAGGACGAGAATGCACCGAGGAAAAGAAAGGATCCTTTTGAAGGTACACCCATTTCATTTTTGTTTGCATGCTCTTGGAAAGTAGATATGTCTTTCTTTTCTTGGTTCCTCTATATAATGCTTGTGTTCAATGGTATGTGACTATTCTTGAATCACTAGGAATGGATGTAAAAGGCAAAACTCGAAGGCCTGTTCTTGTCCTTGGAGACAACCCAGAAGTATCAAACCCAATACGAAGGAGAAGAAGGGAACGGGCTAGCAGCAGCAGCAGCAAGAGGCACAGACCAGCATATAACCACTGTAAAATGCCAGTTTCGACTATGATATTCTTCTTTTTTTACTTCACAGACTCGAAACTTTTCAAACACTAATAGATCAGTTCAATTATCACCACTGCCATGCCACCAGATGCAAATGGTTCAGGATGGTGGGACTGTGACATGGAAGGAGTCGACAGCGAAGAAGTAGGATATGGTGAAGTGTGGGAAGGGGTTGGCTCCACCACATTCGGAGATATCGTTGACTGGCACTAACCAACTAACTGCTCTATAAGGTATGATTCATGATCGCTTCTCTCGGAAGCATTTCTATGTCTCCATCACATGATCAAATAAAGCTCGATGACCCTTAAAATGTTCTGAAGTGCTAAAAAGTTTTGAGTTTCTTGCAGCGAATGCTGATGAGAAAAGGATCAGCTAACTGAAGGAAGATCCTTGTGGCTCAAACCTCTGATGTTTCTTGCTGTTGAAACTGTGTAATTTCAGGACAATACCACCATGGATCCTCTCAAACTAGTTTGCAAGTTTATATGTAATGAAGTATTTTAAGTGTGTAGTATGTGTGTGTGTGTGTGTAATATATATATATGCTGTAATGATTTACAAGAAAATGGCCCGGAAAAAAAATAAGTGGGGTGAGAGAGGCTCGAACTCTCGACCTCAGGATCACTCAGAAGCTATGAGACCTACGCGCTAGCCAACTGCGCCACCACCCCTTTGTTGGGTGATGATCACAAAGTTTTGTACTGACATTAACCTACTTTCTAGAAAAACAAATGAACCAAAAAAGAGAAAACAACAAATGGGAAAATGCAAAAACAAAAACAACTAAAAAAGGCGAAGAAAAATAAGTTTGTCATGACAGCCAGCGCCGCTCCCTTGGACTTTTCCTCTTTCTTTTTTTCCCCCACACTTTAATAAAAACCGTTTAAATATACAAAATATATCACAGTGAAAAAAGTAATTTTACATCCATAAAAATTATATAATTAACTCGTTTCATGTTGAAAGAGATGTCTTAGTGTTTAAAAGTCTGGATTTTTTTGGTTATATATTATATACAAAAAAAAAAAAGACTCCATGATAGAAATTGTCCGTACGATTTTCCAAGCCACGGAGAAAGAAATCGTCAATCGCGAAAGCTTTGACCTTTATCATTTTGACCTGTTTGATGCTCATATTAGACGTCACTAATCATTTTTCCTCCGTTTAAAAAATAAAATAATTAATTTCGAATGGACGCTATTGGTTCATCTGTCTAAGTCATCCGCCTTGGAATTTTTCAATTTGTCAAAATCAAGCTCTTCTAATAATTTTTAAAAAAGTTTCCACCATATCGATTTGGACCCACCAATTCCATTTTATGATACCCTTTTTTTATTTAATTATTACGAGAAAACGTGTGACGCCATTTCTTTTACGATAAAATGTATGTATGTATGTATGTATGTATGTATGTATGTATGTATGTATGTATGTATGTATGTATGTATGTATGTATGTATGTATGTATGTATGTAAGGCAGAAAATCAAAATGTCTGAACATGATTTGGATCATGTCTCCATTGAATCTGAGTTCGGAATCTAGCATGTTAAAAAAAAAAATTCCGAAATTTCATGCACAAGCCTTGAATTGGTGAGAAACATTCCTTTCTAAAATACGGTGGTCAAAGTAAGAATCATATAAAACTAAGGGTACCAGTGTGTAATTATAAGAATTTGAATTGCATTCCATCAAAGGCAACGGAAATTGCTTTACCGTGGGATACAACGACGAACCCCCCCCCCTTTCTCTCTCTCTCTCTGACTCTGAGCTCCAGGAAGCACCACCTGTCATCGCCTGAGAAGCTCGATCGCGTTGGTCGATCCTCTGCTCGCCACGCCATACGGCCACGCCACGCGGCGCAAGCTCCTCATCTAACCTCCGCTCTCCGAAGATTCGAAAATTCGAACCTTTTCTCGTCTTTGCTCCGGGGGTTTCTCCAATCAAATCGTCTTTCCGAGATCTTCGATCCGCCTTCTCGATCTGGGTGTGTTCGTATTCGCTCCAGATTATCGGAATCGTCGGTTTCCAATTTTAATACGAAGGATTTGGCGGCAAGAAGTGAAGCCCGTGAGTTTTTGGGAGTGATTCGCGGCGTCGATTTTGTTTAACTTTAATTAGATGCGACTGCTTTGGTATTTCTGTGGTTGTTTGGAGTGAAAGCAAGATGGGTGTTATCGCTTCGTGAAGAAGAATAGTATATCCAGACATGTACAAGACATATACTTGCCTAGGGGCATATTGATCGAGTTTGTGGTGTTCTTAAGTTGCGATCGATTTCTTTGATCATACCCGTATAGAGGCTAGAATCACTCGACATGGTCAGCGGAAATCTGTTTCACTGTAGAAAGCATTCATGGCCTCCCGAGGAGTACATCAGCAGGA